CTACGGTTCTGGCTTCTTAGCATCAGAGGGTACTTACGTGGGATGATGACATGTTACACTGTCTCTCAGTGATCCTGCTGTAGGGTGGTTCCTCCCGGGCACATAGCGCCTTGACCAACTCCAGAAGCTTTACGGTTTTGTCAAAACAAGAATGCATGAAATACTATGGGAAGCCATCATGAACCTTGGGAATTATAGGGTTGATGGATTTCTCCATAGGAACATGTCAGAATCCATTAAGTCTGCCTTAATGGTCATAACTACAGCCCAGAGACAACTCTGCTGCTACCGCCCTGCTTGTCAACATGTGAGCATGGGATGGAGACATGTTACGCTGCCTCAGTGATCCCGCTGTAGAGTGGTACTCCCGAGCTCATTGCGCCTTGATCAGCTCCAGAAGCTTTACGGTTTTGTTAAACAAGAATGCTTTTTTGGATGGGTCACGCATTCCGCTTACAGAACCATAGTGGCATTTTGAAAGCGGTAAGGCCTATACAATAATTTTTGAGAGCCTGTAATATTCAAGGCGGTGTTTAACCTTCCTAGATGAGCCGGACACCTAATTATTCCTATTCGGGGCTGAAAGGCTTGGTTAACCTGGGCGAGAATCAGCCCGAAGTTTGACTCCAGATCGTGTGCGCGATAAGCGGCGCCATTTGTCATTCTACCACTTTTGAAAGTAGCGCGCATACCTCTGCATGTGTGACCTGTAAATGAGCTGCTGTTTTGCTTGAGTCAATCATCGCTTTGATGAAAGCTGTTTTTTGTAGAACGAATCCGCCTCTTCCGCTCACAGCGTGAAACGACGTCATACCTAGTGACGAATCACAAGGAATGGCTCCAGAGTTCCTTCCGTCAACATCTGATGATGTTTCTCAGCTTGCTGAAGAAGACGATGGACTTTCGGTAAATTAATGTCCTCATAAAACGGCTTGATTTTGTAATAAGAAGAATTCTTAAGGTCTTTACAACAGAGGAAGAAAGTGAAGAACGACCGCCGAGTATTTCTTACACTGACAGCGAAGAGGGTCTGCTTTTTTGACTCATTTCATACTGTACTAGAAAATCAGCATCTTATTTCAGAGAGTGAATCGAGTGCGATCAACGAAGAATTGGAGAACGATGCATTTCGAGAATTGGAGGCTGGATTGAACGACGTGATGTACCATCAGAAAGATGCACCACCACAGCTTACCGCCCTTCGTTGCAGTGGGATCGGTTCCCCAAAGAAAGTGCGTGTCTGTTTTGTCGGGTGGGCGGGGCCAGGAAATGCCATCATTGGCGTGTTTCTCGTTTTCGCCTCATCGAGGAAGAGTGGAAGCGAAGCGGCATGAATGACACTATTTCTTGTTTCCGTCTAAATAGAAATCCCTTGCACCTTCAAAAAATTAGTATTACTTATTATGAACGTGGTTGTTAAGGTGTGGGGTCTTCTCTGCCGGAAGAATGAACTTATACGACCGAGTAGTCGATTACTTGACAACCATCCTGAGTTAACACCACGTACGCGAGCGATCCTCGTGGACTGGATGATGGAGGTAAGCATTCGAATTTTCTCGCTCAAAGCACCGTCTTCTGCTTCTATCCTACTCTCCTTCGTCAGCTTCTTCCTTAGCTCCTTTCTATGATATGATTCTGTCGTCCCCGTGAACCTCCTTCAGCCAGGGTTCCTCCTCACGGGGGGAACGGACAAAACAATCATCATTTCGCCGCGCGGCTGCACGCGGTGCATCGTGTGGCGGTCCCCATCAAGCTTTCGATGTGCTCAATTTGTCGATTACAGCAGCAACTCACGTTAATGCCTCACGTGAATTCGAGTGAAAGAAGGACCCGTATACCGCGATATTGGCTTTTTCCGTCCCTATAAAACTCAAATCCAAACCGTTGGGCAGGACCACTCGTCTCGCGGCTCCGGTCGCCACGCTTAGCACGGCATATTATAGTCGTCCTATCACATATCCCCCCCCCCCTTCAGGCAGCGTTCAGACTTCGCGACGGCAGCGCTTGGATCGCGCGTTCGACGCGATCGATGCAGTAGAAAGCATGCGCATCGATCGCGCCGAACGCGTGACCGAAGCGCTGCCGTCGCGAAGTCTGAACGCTACCTCACTCAAGGCTACTAATGGCGAGGACGCCCCGGGTAACGGTTTTACTATCATGCGTTTGACTTTACTTTTCTTGGATAGTTCCCCGTCCGTTCCTCTACCCGAGCCCTTCGCATTGCTCCCTGCTCCTTGGGTTGTACTTGAGTTCACCTTCTCTTTTGTATAGGCCGTGGTCATTATCTGGTTCGTTTTTCCCCAGTGCTTCCAACCTATCTCTTGCCCGGCTCGTCTCTATCATGCTTTGGGTCCTTGTTCAGGTTCTCTACTGCAACTTCTCTTTTTTCCCTTTCTGCTGGTGCTGTCTGTTTCGCTGCGAATGATGGGGCTTAACATGGGAGATGGGTTTGGCGCGGTGCAGGCCCTTTTTGCAAACGACAAGGCTAAGTCACACTTCGTATCAGTCGTTTTCGACCAGTTGTTGTCGCTCACCTGCTGCAACAGCTGGTGGAGAACGGGCTGGTGGCGCGCCAAATCCAGCCCCACTGACACGCCCCATCAATCGCAGCGAACAAAACTAGACAATAACAATCTCGTGACGTAAGATGGAGACGCAGTTGCCCAGTGCTCCCCCTCTTGCCACATCAGTCAGGATTACGGTTTCTACTCCTTATTATGTGCTATTAAGGTTTGTTCAAGCGAAAGGCAACATCGAGAGACTTTTCATCTGGCTGTTGACTATATCGACAGATTTCTCGCTTCGTTCCAAGGCATCAGGTCCCATACATTTCAGCTGGTAGGAACAGCAGCACTGTTCCTTGCTAGCAAATATGAGGTAAGCCATACAAATGCGTGATAGTGGAAGCAGCTGTAGCTTTAAGATGGTCGTACGTCATGTGAATCGCCTCAGAGTGCACAACCCACAAAGGTAGACCAATTGTTGTCTCAGAGTGTGCTTTGATTCTCTTCTATTTTGCTACATAAGAAACGGTTAATTCTGGGATTTATTACTCCGCGAGTTGTTATCTTGCACTACGAGCGGGCGTTCAGTGTTCAGAATCATAACAACCCGTTCTGCAGGCCGCTTAGATCGAACGATCTCATTATATACCGTTTTCTGAAAGGGTTTCATTGTTCAGAGAGAAGGGAGGTGCTTGATCTTAAAGGACTCTGAGAATGAGGTCAATCGAAGTCCAAAACTGGTCGGATACCTTTCCCCTGGATTTGCTTCTATTGTCAATTGCTTTATTTATTGAATGTAACAATATATGGGCGGAAGTGGTGTAATGTTAAGTGGTCCAGTTACTATACGCCTTGCCATGGTTTAATGCTTGCACGTACAAATGTGTAATAAATACCCGCACTCGTACAAAACCCGACGAACGGACCTAATACAATAGTAAGAGGGTTCATGTACAGAATAATGTTGGCGGTGATCAGTTACCGTATTACTGTACCAGTGGCGGCACTCAACATAATGGATGAAGCGGGAACACATAAGGTGCATACTTGATTATACACTCACGATACCGCTAGCTCATGCCTGCGGTACTATTTCAAGAGGTGCGTATCTTAAAGACGCTTCCCGTGATCAAGTGATCAGCAAAATGCCTCCATGCATTTGGCATCGTTGTCCGCACTCACGGAGAATATACCTTTTTCCACTCGAAATGGCGAGATAACGGAGCTAGAGACGCGTGAGTTTTGCAACCGGTGCAACCGCGTACTGTAACTCTGCAAGACAACGGCTTACAAGCGGAATTGCGTGTGTACATAGCGTTGCCTGGAGCGTCGTAGGGCGATTTCCTATGCTCTTGCCGGGAATTGGTTGCACCTAGAATCCTGCTGATTGGGCTTGTCCTCGTGATGAACTCGTCCAATGGCGCCGACCCACTGCTAGGGGGTCTGTGCTCGGGGTGTTCCCAAATTTTTTTTTGCTTCTTTACGGATGAGTTTTTGATTATACTGGATCATGATTGAGTACCTGCTACTTGCCACACTTGATCGCGGGAATTGTCTCAAAAATGAACTGCACACTGACCTCGGTGGATCATGGTACTTTCCTTATGTGAGGTAAGCAGGTCCACAGTTGCAGTAGCGTGACACTTTTCCGCTTAAAACTTCACGGGGTGGGAGGATAGTGGTACCCAGGTGCCATCCCCATACTCCCCAAGCGTTGTCGCATGGCCAGACACACACCTGACCATGGGCAAAAACGCCACTTGTCTGGCGCTGTCTGTACCCTCTCGCATCCGGTTATCTTTAGCGCTGAGTGTATGTTGCGGCAGGAGCTGCCATCGCTTTTCCTCTGATAGAACTATTTCATCTATTCTCGTTTTAGGAAATATATCCTCCAAAACTTGAAGACTTTGTCGCTTACACGGATGGCGCTTGTAGTGAGCAGGATGTAAGTCCAGCAACTTCTCTTTGTTGCCGAATGTACCTTGGTCATTTATTTGCTCTAATGGCCGATTTTTTTTCAGGTTCGCACGTTCGAGATTATTATGCTGAAGGAATTGCATTGGTCTCTGGCACCGCTCACAAGCATCCACTGGCTCAGCATGTACATGCAGTTTTTGGGTAACAAAGAGGTGGGAGGTGGCTGGTCAAGCAGAAGTTCTTGATATCTACTGCTTTCCACTTCGTTTTCACGGTTTCATAACTTTTAGGTGCCAAAAAATAACGGTGACACGCATGTGGTTGACCAACCCTTCATCGTACCCGATACACTGAGAGAGGACTTTGTCAATATGGCTAAGGTAGTGTGTTTACCGTGGCATATTCGTTACATAACGTTGTACCACACAGTGCACATTACACGTTGGGTATCCCCAGTGAGGGGGATCATATTTGGTCGCTGGGTGAGAGGGGGGCTGCGTCGTAATTGTCTCCTAAAAATGTTTTAGGGTGTTGACGTTTCTAGGTTTTACCGTTTCAAATGTGCTATACCCCACTCGCCCCGCCGTTGCATGGCAGTTTTTGGGCAGAAGGGGAAGAATTCCGGAAAAGAACTGCGGAAAAGTAGCAGAAAGTTGGTGAACTGAGAGAGGATGATATACAGGCTTGGAAATATGGAAGGGGTGCACTAGAGGATCACATTTAGAGGGGGGTTGTGTGCTGAAAAAATTCTCCCCAGCGGCGGCAGGACGTGCCCTGGTACCACCTTTTTGCTGAAGCACCTCTGCTGTGTATCACCCTGCGGTAGAAGTCGGTCTGATTTCCACCGAACAGTGTGGCGCCTGAACTCTAACAATCTTTTTTGAGGTACTCGATCTATTGCTGCTTGACGTCACATCATTCAAATATTCCTATCGGGAGCTAGCCGCTGCCGTTCTTTTCGCCTGCTACGAGCCTCATGCCCTTGTTCAAGAAGTCACAGGTTGGTCCTTGTATACGCGGTCAGGGAAAGGGATGTGGGACGTTGGATCCATGTTGCAGCGAGAATGGGGCTGCATCAGGTACTTGGCTGTCGTATCTTAGTCGGCTCGCAAAAGCTGCTTCATGTCGAGTTAAAGGGAACAGCAGCTAGTTTGTGCGCGGGGACGAAATAGGATATGTGCCAAGACAATCGTAATTTGCCGCGCTGGAAGGCGTCACGAACGCGTCGTCGCGTCCAAATGACGATGGTTCTAGGTCGTAGATAGCGAGTAAAGACATTGTGTAGCGAAAGGTAGCCATAAATGTCTACGATGCCGTAGCCTACATCGAATATGGTGCTCCAGTCGATAGAGCGCGCGATGGAGCGACAAATTGCGATTGTCTTGACCGTTTCGCACCGGAATGTGGATTTAATGTCCCACATCATAGGACCATGTTCAATATAGAAACCTTTTTCCGCATCTTTTAGATCGCTTAATCTACCTCTTCTCCTGCAGTTAATTTCATATTACCTAGTTTATTTCAATAAGGTTTTGTAGGATATTCGTACTCCAACCTGCTGAAGGTTGTTGAATGGGTGGAACCCGTGGTGAAAGCATGTGAGCGGATGCGAGCACTCGGTGATCCACTACATATTGTTGAAGGAGTCCGTGCGGACGATCTTCATAACATTCAAACTCATCCCGAAGAAGAATTCGAACAAGTGGTGGTGAGTTTCTCTTCCATTCGTTTACACAAGATTATAAGATTAGGAAGACAGGCGGTATACAGTACCCCCCCCTCAAAAAAAACTGCTCGTGAAATTAAATGTGAGCAAGGAATGTTCCGCAGTGAGGCCAGGATGTGACGGACGAGGCTCATCCCGCTTTCGCGTAGCCTGCAGGTGTAAACTGAGGATACCGTGTGCACCCACTGGTCCTATGCATTTAATCTTACGCGCAGTTTGGATAGCTAACCCGCCCCATTTCCTGGAGTAATAATTCAAATTCGTTCACTATGATTCCTCTAGCATTTCCAGATTCGAGAATAAGGGTGAGTCCTTAGCCTTGACCACCTCTGGGTACCCCACTTCGGCCGAACTTGCTATTGTGGACAAAGTTCGACAAAATGGTGGCTTGAATCGCGAAACGTAGGGCAGGAAAGGGAAAATAATGTAATCACCCTATAGGGGCTAACCCATTTTCCACCAATTATTGCTTGCCTGCTTCAACAATCGGTGCAGAACGGACTGCACCGCGCCAGACCCAGTCCCTTCCTCGTTCCCCACCTCATGGCACGGCACGACGTCCGCAGCGAACAAAACTGCATTTTCAAAGTCGCTGAGACGCGCGCGATAACGCGAAAAGTTCATGAGCAGAGCAGCACTTTTTTGACTTTTCTGCGTATTCTAATCTTATTCGTTTCTGCATACTTTTAATTCGATATGAATTAATATAAATAATTAACGAAAGGAATGCTCGTGGGCGAGGATGCGTTTAGACTTCGCGATGTCGTGTGTCGATACACTCTGACGTCACAGACGGATATCGATCGGCCCCGCCCCCCCCCCCCCAACGCACTAGTGCTGGTTTTAGGAGAGTGTAGAAGAATCAGTGTGCAATTACCCTATTTTCTGTACGATAGAGCGTCATGAAATAGAGTGGTCTGCACTTGGGTCGTAAAAAAGCAACGTTGCTATTTATGACGCCTAATCTCACGATCTGGTACTCTCCTTTTCTCCCCTACTCTCTCAAAACAGCAGCGGTCAGCGCCAGTCGATACCCGTCTGTGTCGTCGAAGCGCGTCGACGCGCGAGATCACGAAGTCTGAACGCGAAGCTGTAAGTATACTGAGTTCCACTTGCTTCATCCTCCTCCTTTCATAACGGTAGTTAGGGTCACTTCCGATGAACGACAGGATGATCACGATTTCAGACCGACATCGAAAAGGAGCGTGAAATCGCGAAGATAGCTCGAGAAAAGGTAAAAGTCCCGATGAGCCGTAGGAGAGGACCACTAAGATCCAGATGCACGAATCCAGATCAGATCACAATTTTTTCATGATTATTTTGTTTCCCAGCATGATTGTCCATTTTCTTTCTTCATAACCAAAAATTCAAGTCTTTTTCCAAGTTCAAAAAACCATCTAGCAAAATAACCACGACCTGGTTGTGCTATATTTTACAGTTGCCATCAAACGAGTAGCTCCTTTCTAAATGGGCTTTCTGTTAATGTATCCATTGTCTTGTATTATTGCGTACAGTATGCCTACTTCGCTTTCGAAAATGTCTTCTACTAAGCCGGGTGACGTATCATTTTAACATCGATTGTAATTTTTTTTTGTAATTTGACATTATTTTCACTATACTGGAAGTGGGTATGCATTTGCTCTGTAACATTCATTCTACTGTCAGATGATTATGTAGAAATAAATCGCTCTAGTTCATAGACGTTTCCCGTGTTGAATCCGTAGTGTTCTCTTTTCACGCAGTCAGGCAGCTGATATTCCGCGAGTAACCGCTTCTGGACCTTTATGGTGTACCTGGAAGAAATCAAGAATTTAAAAATAAAAACAAATGATTGGAAAAAAACACCTCAAACCCCCAAAACACAGATGGTTCGTTGTGACTGTTAGAAGAAGTCTCGAACTCAAACGGTGCCGAAACGGTCAGGGCTGCCTTATGCATCTGAAGACACCTTTCGAAATTTCCGGGCGGAGTCGAAGAAAGGACGTCACTGGTGCGTTCCCTCTATTCCCGCCTTCTATGGTGAAGAGGTGGGAGGAGAAGGAGCGCGCCAATGATGTCGTTTTCTGGCTCCGCCCACCGGGGATCCTCAATGGTGACCGCAATAGGTCGCGGGGAAAGGACATTTTGTATCTTGCTACTTCTCAGTGTCGCCTCGAAGCCATCAAGTAGAGATCTGTAAAATCTTGTGAAGCCATGAAGTGGTGCCAGTTAAAGTTTCCAGAGATCATTTGTCAACTCTTGTAGAGAATATCTGTCAACACTTGTAATGCAATGAACACGACAACGAAAGGGCAAGATGCCCTCCCAAGCCAAATCGCCCCCGTGATTGATAATTGTGGCAGCTTATTTTTAGCGGCGATAAGCACTGACATTTGTAGGGTTTTCGGGAGCTATCCTAGAGTACTGTCAAGAATCTCCACCTCTGTGTTACCAGGCTTGCACAGGAACTATGCAGTTCCGGGAAAAGCTGGATCGTGGAACCCCTGTAGACTCAGAAAATTACGGATAGGCTGGAAATGCATTGAAGTGCTTCCATGCTTCTGATAAAGTAGGCCATTTCCTCGAAAACGCTTAGCTCCTTTCCAGTTCATTTTCGGATGAGAGGAGGGGAAAACAAGCTACGGAGATGCTCTCACAAAGGTGTAAGCGCAACACCATTTATCCCTGGGCGGTGTCCCCATCTGGTGGGCAGGTCCAAGTCTCTGAAAAGGTGGAACCTCATGGATTGTGGGCTGGGCTACTATTTATAAGTACGGGACCCAACCTGTAGCGGAATAAGTGTTTAAACAATTATTTCGTGCTCCTCCCTCCCAGAATAAAATGCGTTACCTCTCCAGTTGGTCATTAGCCAGAGGATGTCGATTAGGGTCACCAGCTAGAACTCGCACAGCTGTCACTTCTTTCAATCTGAAAGCAAATATTAGGCAGCGTTCTGAGTTCGCAACGATGTGCGTCGACGCGCTGTGACGCGCGACGAGGCGCTGCACGTTCAGGATGATCTCCACGAACCTTTTTAACCAACCAAATAACTGTTCTGCAAAATCTGTATCATAAAACATGTCGCCCAGTATTATGAAGGAAGTGTCAGTCTGAAATTAGACCTGTGAATGGAACACGGGCAATTTGAAATGACAATTTTTTACGAGCCGCTTCGCAACCACAGCGCGCCAAGTGGTCTAGTGGTAGCGCAGCCCACTAACTATTGGAATAAAAACAAAACGTGATTTACCTGTAGGAATTGCAATAAGAGACTTTCTTGACATGGATCAAGTAGATTATCACTGACAAATCGTGTTCGCTTTGTCGACACACCGTTTCTACGATAGTTGATTAAAGTGGATACAAGGGCATCTGAAATCCGTTTACGAGCTGCAGTGGAAAAACGGAAGTTACTATTGGTATAAATATAATAGTTTATTGGGCGCTGTTCAGCTTGGGAGGGGCATTTTGCCCTTCGCTAGTTCATTCTGCTAGTTCCTGCTGAATTACACGTCACAACTTGAACAGGTCTGTCGGCTCTTATCAAGTGTAAAGGGAACTTATACTTAAGCAAACTGGTACAAAGTCTCACAGGAAGTATCAGCAGCGCTTGATGAGAACCATAAGGGTCTCTCACCGGAACGGACCCTGACTCCCCAAAAATCCTTTCAGAATACGCCATACACCCTCTTATCGAATTAAGAGCATTAACACCGACTCTACGCTTGACCAGAAGTCCTGTGATAATAGAACTAGCATCTCATTACAAGACCGCTCCACCAATGATTTGAAACAGGAAAAATGAGGAATGTTGGAGACTAAAAGCGCAGTCAACGCTGTTTGTGTGGTGGACGGGGCCAGGTCTTACGCTCTGCCTTCTCGTTGTTGCTCACTCCTCTCCGAGATGGGAATGATCAGAGGCTGCGACAAAAATGGAGAGGGAAACAAAATGGTCAACTGTCCCCGCCCATACGACCAGTGTGGACTATGCGTTAAGACCAGGGCACGACTTGCCATTGAAGGAAAATTTTGCAAAATTGACCCCTTCGGAACTCCTCTTCTGGCTCGATTTTCCCGAAATTTCCTCTTTTGGTGCGACCCCCTCTTCTTTCCCCACCCTATTCTGAATCTCTGACATTCCACCACGTTTCCAGTTTTTTTTCCAAAATTTCTTCAGCTTTTCTCCAAAAAACTGTTGCGCCGGTACAGCGCATAAAACGGGAAAAACAAGAAAATCAGCACTGCCAACTTGAAAAAACTTATTTTTTCGGAAGGCTAAACATAACCCGCCGTCCTGCTTATGAGAGCGCCATGTCTAAAGGCAAGGGCGTACGACGTGCCCCTGCTTTAGACATGGCGCTCTCATAAGCAGATATAGGGTCATCATTCACTTTTTGACCCTGAACTAACGACCAGTGCATGGCGCATCCATTCCATTTATAAAATAACTCTTACTTGAATCGATATCATTAGCTATTACTGTTGCCCCTGCCTTAGATGCCGCTATACTAGCGGAACCACAACCGCAGCCAAAGTCCAGGACATTTGCATCCGAAAACAGTTCCGAATTATCGAGAATATACCTGAAACCGAAGTCCTCTAATAGCAACTTGAGGGTAAATGGTAGCTCACCTGGTGACTGCCTGCCCACCTGGCCAGTAAAATGCCCAATATGGGTCGGCGAAAGGGCACATTTCTGGCCTAGCTCTCCACAAAGGACTTGCCTCTGTGATCAGACATAGTCTGAGTTCAGGTGTTAGACTTTGCTTGGATTCGATAGTATTCCGTAAAATCCATTTTGCAACCTGACCTATCGACTTTACCATGCAATTTCCCTGAAATAGAGGAGTTGTATCAGTGTGCAGCGTAAGTTCCCGCTTCGCGCCGGCTAGTGCCGCTTGCCGCGCGCGAGGAAATTGCGCGGCTGTCAACCATTAGGGATGTGCAGTGTCTGTGACCCAGGAGATTCACAAGTTCCAATGCAAGTGTGAGATACGATTCCACCTTCCTGTGCTCGGCTGACTTCACCCTACCGGTCTTATAGGAGGATCCTAGTTTCCACGCCGACGCAAACGCTGAGTAATACCTTTGCCGCGCATTTCGCTTAAAGATACGCTATCCGCTCATCTTCAGGGATCCTATTCCTCGCCGTGTGCTAAGCGACATGTCCGCAGCTATAAAAGGGTGCCACTTTTGTCATCGAAAGTGCGCCGATGAAAGTCTAGAGGTGAGTGATAACTAGATGCTATATTGGACTCACCAGCAGGCAGATATGCAGACGCAACATGCCGCACTACCAGGCATGCGCCTGACTATAGCCAAAAATGCTGCTTGTCTGCACCTTCTCATGTTTGGTTGTTCTCTACATTTGCTGATTATAAGCAGCTGCCATTGATGCTGTTTGCTGCGGAAGCTCGGCATCGGCGCGAAGGCCGCACGTTGTGGAGACAGGGCGGACTAAAGGCGGTATCCAGCAAAACACTCCAGCTTCAATTCCGCGCCTTTTCCAGTGATTAAAATGGCACACTTTTACAGCTGCCAGCCTGCCCACACTTCGCACATGGCACGGATCCATTTTGCATGAACACTTCATATCCTCGCAATCAGTCGGGGCGGTGTCAAGAGTTTCATATCATTGGTTGTTTTCTTCCTAAATCGATCAATAACTAACCTCTATGGTTGCGAGCAAGCCGAAGGCGAGCTCAGTCCGCCCCTCCTCGCACAACTCCGCCTATTGCGTCTACATCAAACTCATAAAACTGCTAGATTGGTGGAACTAAGGAAAGATAGGTGTCGGAGCCGTCCACACTGCAAGCGCACGCTGACACGACTGTTTCAGAAACTTCAGATACCAGCTTAGTTGGTCCGCAACATCACTGACATCCAGCTCGCAGCTTCGTGAAAGCTCTGGTGAGTTGCCTGTGAGCCAGTCGACACAAGACGCAAAAAAACATGTGGAAAGGCATACGGTACGGTAACTTGGTACTCTCTGAAATAGTACCAGGGTTGCTACATAGTGGGAAAAGCGACGAAAGCGGAGCACAGCGAACAGAAACCCGCGAAAAACCCATCGCTCTGGACGACATTGTACGAGCACTTTTGGACGAGTTCCCCGTCAGCATCG